CAATTTTTATAACAATAGCAAATAGTCTTTGCTTAAATAAACGACATGAGAATTTTGAAATGTTCATGTAGGTGATTTTGAAATACATCTTTTCAGATTGAATAGATTGAATAGGAACTCAAGCTTCAGGAATTTAAATCGTATAATATACAATCTAAAGAACAAAGTCTATCTCTATTGTAAAAAAAATTTCGTATTATCTTTAGTCTTCCATCTCATTATGAGTTGGAGAATATTTACTTAAAAATGATTTACTAGTCCATCTAATAATGATCAAGATAAATCTAATCTTTAAAACAAATTATTTTTAATATTATTTAATGAATTTATGGATAGATGGTGCTCAGTGATATAAATTTGTAACATGACATGAAAAAATCGTTAATTTATATCCTAAAGTTTCATGATTCGAAAATCATACTCACTCATTATATATATTATGTTTTATATTAATAATAAATGCAATAGATACGTTAGCATATCGGTGATCTTTGTGGTATGATCACCAAAGAAAAGCTTATGGATTACCTGAGTGATATATGGGTTTTATTGTTGCAGATATAAATTCAAAAAAAGAAATACAGAATTTAATAACAGCAAAATTTTCTTAAACAAAGCAAATCATTAATTTTCAAAATAACCATTTTTTTTTATCACTACTAATTAACTTGATTTATTTCAAATTTTAGAAAAATAACATTAGACTGACCGTCATCAGATATTGGTAAAGTTGGCGTATAGTTTCCTATTCTGTTTAAGAAAGAACATTGAAATGCTTGAAATTATTTTTTAGGCCATTAAAATAATTAAATAATTAAATTAACTAAACTTTAAAAGATTTTTATAATACGAAAAAAAGAATGAGTGCTTTATGATATAATTACAATAAATCAAATATTCTGTAAATAAAAATATGAAAATAACTGTAAAATGAAAAATGTATTTATTTTGCAAATTTTCGTAATAATTATATTTTTTACAATATCTCTACAAACACGCAAGCAATTATTTTAAAATAAGAAACTGGTTGTGTACAAAAATAAATTTTTAAACTATAATCAGAAAAAAAATAAGGTTTCTCCTATAATTATTCATCTATTCTTCTAATTCCCAAATTATGAACGTCAATTCTGAAAAACTATTCCAATGAAGATCATAAATATGATTATTAATGGAGATTCAAATATTAAATCCTTATTATTTCAGTATTTTGTAAAGAGACCCTTCAACGTTAATTCCACCCGCATCAATTTTGTCATCACCACCAATTCCGTTACTCTATTCTCCACCTTATCGTCATTGATTAACCTATCATTTATTTCATTATCCCCAAACTCAATTCACTTTGATAATACAATGTTATAAGGTCCATATTCTCATTTTAAGGTATCAATTATAAGAAAATCATTATCATAATTTCTTGTTTATATTTGATATGAAGAGAGAAATTAGATGATGAGTTCTAACAAATCGAGTTGTCGGCTTTTACAAAAATTTAAATATGCCTTTTTTTTACCTTCATATTTCCGAATTTTTATCTTTTAATATTTTTATATTTTTTTATTTTCTTTCCGATAAAGTAATTTAAATAAAGAGATGACAATTATAGAAATAAAATAAATAACGATTATATAACTTAAATGCGTTACATTACGTTATTATCAATGTAAAAATTAGAAAGTGTCACTTTTGAAAAATATCTTTGAGCAGCAAGTCCAGCTTAATTTAATGAAAACAAAATTTTTTAAAAAGTTAAATTAAACATATCAAAATAATGTTTAAAGCTTATTATTACATATTACTATATCAAAGAAATGCTTTTACTTTAAATCATTTCGCGAAATTTTGAAAACCTCAAACTCTTTAATTGAAAATAAAAATTCATCCGAAACATCTAATAAGCGACGACCTGCTTTTTGACTAACAAATTCATATGAACGGATTGGTTTAGAATATACATTACTAACCAAGCAATAGCTTTTTTTCTGAGTATTCACATTACCAATTAAACGTAAAGCATTACCAAAGCCCAACTGTAATTTCTGCGGATAATTTACAATGGCATAATCAAAATTCATAACCACTCTACTTAAAATAGAATTATTCAGATTTGTAGTTTTCAATGAAAATGTAAAACTATCTTGTGTGTTCTTCCATTCATTTTCATCTTTATCCCACCCGTGAGGATTAAACCCTCCCAAAATTTCTCCAGTACCTTCAACTTTTAAAATAATAATTGTATTAGCTACTTTATCACAAATACTATAAATAGTTTTGACATCAAATCCATCTCTAGATCCTCTAACAAGCAATTCAAAGTCATATGGATTATTTTCAATATAGGGGGTTTCTTTTTTATCAATCCAGGATGAAATTTCTAGTGTATGTTCAATAGTGATAATATTGGAAGACAAAGGAATTGGGATATTTCTAATTGTGAGTTTTGTATTTAAGATTTTTCGAGGTGATAACACAGTCGAAAAGATTTGTTTGTTAGGGGTCATGATTTTAGTATTGATGTCTAGAAAAAGTTTAGGTTCAAGTATTTGATTATAGGTAAAAATCTTTTCTACCACATCTTCGCTGGAAAAACTGAAATGTCTAATGTGTGGAAGACATCCTTTTAAAGTTTCTTTTAATGTTAAGAAATTATCGCTTGTCCATTTATCAAGATTAGTTGGTAAAGTAGAATTTTTTGATTTACCCCATTCAATTACATATTCCCAAATTTTGCCTTCTTCTAATTGTAGGTCATCCCGTTTAAGAATAGAAATTAATGCTTCTTCGGGGAGAGAATGAAAATTTTCAGATTCAAAAATAGTATTAGGATGTTTAGCAATAATTTCGTTATAAAAGTCACGAATAATTACAAGATTTTTGACTTGATAACTTTTTCGATAAATTTGAGCAAATTTTAGTCTTAACCAAGAAGCACAGTTGTTGACAAGATAAGCTTGGAGATGTTCAGCTAATTCATCCAATTCAAGTTCACTAGATGCAATTACTAGTTATTATTATATTTGCATCCTAAGTTAATCCACTTTCTTAATTTATGTATCATGTTCTTTTCTATTTGTTTTATTTACTGTATTTCCCTTCGTTAGTTTCTACTAACTTTATCATTTTGATTTTTTTTGTACGGTACAAACATAAATGTAAAGAATTACTGCTGTATTACTATTCTATACTATTAGAAGAAACTATAAAATTAACTCTTGCTTTATTCCCTATTTTGATAAAACCTTCATTTAAATAATTAACGATAAAATTGTTAATATTTATAAATTAATATTATGCCAATAATTTTGCCATTATTAAATTATGAACAATTATTTAAACGTTATATTATTTAATTGCGTAAAAAAATGTACAATAAAATTATACACATTTAATAAAAAAAAAAATTCTAAATACATTATTTCTGATTAGCAAATATTTTTTGAATATTTGTTATCTTATTTATTTATTTATTTATTTATTTTATTATTATTATTTTGTTATTATATTTTTGCAAAATAAGAATCGATCGTTAGTATTAACACAATTTATAATCAAGAGCATCTTAAGAATTTTGTAAAACACGTGCAAAATGTCATAATATTATATATTAAATATATTATATTTAATGTAGAATATTCTATTTTTCAAATTTCTATGATTCTGGATATAATTTATACATATTCTTTGTAATGTAGTATCCCAGACCAAATTTCTCAGATTTCTCGAATTTCTCAGGTTCTCAGATTCTTGGGCATATATAATTTCACATCATATAAATAATATATATGGAAAAGAGATTATTTATACACGTAATATGTTATAGTGTTAGTTTTGATGATATTGGTGTACTGAATAATTTTATATAATCGGAAAAAAACAAACAAATTGATTGACCACCACAAATTAACAATAGAAATTATCTTTTAATTTAATGAATACATATGTTGTGCCTCTTTTAAAGTTAAGGTTGTTAGCTGAATTTAAAAAGATCTACACAATCACAACATATGCATTAAATATATAAATATAAATACTGGGCAAATATAAATAAATATATAAATAATACATAAATATCAAGCATCAATACACTTCATATATAGTATTTTTGAATAATAAAACAACCAATTAATCCCGCATTTCCTAAAGAGACTTCTTTGGCGTTATTATGATTCTTATGATTCGTTCAAAAAAAAAATAATAATCTGGATTAATTAATTAGATTTTTTATAATTATATTTTTATATACAGTACAGTTGTATTATAAAGATTTGGTAATTATTATTTTTTTTCGAGAGTTCATTTTTTTAAGGTTTAATCTTATTGATTTATTCTCTTATTTTAGAAAATCCGTACAATAAATATATTTGTAAAAATATAAAAATATATAATTATATAAGCAAAACATATATCCATACCTCAAAATACATTATTAATAATCAATTGTTTATTAAAAATATTTAATTAATAATATATTACAAATCTCAAGTTTGAGAAAGATTGTTAAGAAAGAAGAAAATGGTGCATTATTTTGAATATTTTTCATAAATAATTTTTATGTATGTTTTAATACTGTATAAATTATATTTCATTCGAAATAACACATCTTAGTAATAATAATAAAAAATCGAATGTTTATTTTAATTATTGAATGTAAATTATTTCTTCCTTTTTATATAAATACACGTTGTAGCAAATAAAATTATTGATTCCTCGGTCAAGAGTGAACCCGATTTTTATTTTTCTTATTAATTATTATTTTTGGTTTTACTCTATATTTCTTACCCTATTGTTAAACACACCACCCACCGACCATAGAGCTTGCTGCTTTATTATTTTATATTCATAGCCACATTCATCACCTTTTTTGATTTTTTTTTCTCCTTTATCCTTTTCTCGGTTATTTTTTATATTCGCTATTCTTCATTATTCCATTACTATTTTCCGAACGCCAAATACCAGATATTCTAATAATCTATGCAAATAAAATAAATAAACTAATCATGGGTATATCTTTATTCATTAATTATTAAAAACAATAATAACTTTATTGAATAGAAAGAATTATAATATTTTAACTTTTTTTTACGTTATTTTTATTATTATTATTATTATTATTATAATTAGATAAAACCGACAAGAAATTCGAGAATGGAGAAAGTAAAGAAGGATTTGATGAATTTATACTTGATTCATTTCGATATATTGGAGGAAGGAGATATCATAATGTATTTGATGCAAAATATTTCTTTCCAAATGATATTGGAGAAGTTGATCGTCTTCAAGGAGAACATTATTTATATCAACATATTTGGAAAGGAAATTTTTCATCCCCCGTTCAACAGACTTTAAGAAAGCCTGGTGCTACTGTTTTGGACGTTGGGTATTTATTAATTTTTTTTTTTAATGTCACTATTTTTTTTTGGTTTTTTTTTTTATTATTATTTAATTTATTAATTTATTAATATAATTATTATAATTGTTTTCTTTTTATCGATATTTAGTTGCGGTCCAGGTTCATGGGTGATTGATATGGCATGCGCTTTTCCATCGACAATATTTGTTGGTTTGGATATTTCTCCAATATTTCCTTCTGAGAAAAATCTACCTAATGCATCTTTCTTTCAATCAAATTTGTTAGATGGTCTTCCATTTCCGGTAAAAAATAATAGATAAATATAATGATTTTTATAATTTAATATTATTTATTTATTGTTACTTTTGTTATCAATAGGAAGGTACATTTGATTTTATTCACCAAAGATTTCTCTCTACTGCATTGGAAGAATCTCAATGGAAAGATGAAGTAATTTATGAAATTATTAGAAAAACTAAACCTGGTGGTTGGATTGAATTTATGTATGTTTTTTTTTTACCTCTTTTACACGATTTTCTTTTGTTTATTTATTTTATTTATTTACTTTATTTTTCTTAATTTGACCTAAATTTTTTATATTACTTTTATTTTATTTATTTTAGGGAAATTGAAAGTTGTAAATCCGATGATTTTTTTTCTCCAAATTACCATAAATTACTTACTTCACGTTAGTAGTTTTAATAATTTCACTTTTCCTGTTTTGATTTAATTTTTTTTTTATTAAATTAAAATTTTTATTTTTTTTATTTTATTGATAGTCTTTGAATTTCTTGCCAAACGTAATATAAATTTAGAAATTTGTCCCATTATTGAAAATGTTCTGAGAAATAATAAACAACTTAAAAATGTTAAGCATGAAAGACGTTCAGTTCCTATTGGACAATGGGGTGGAAGACTTGGTGAAATAGTAATTAATTAATTTCACAATTCTATGTTTTAACATTCAATTATTCAAATTCATTCAATTCACGCGCTGACTTTTTATCCCTCAATCCTCACAAAAATATTAGATGACCATAAATATGATTAGTATTTATTTGGCTGCTAAACCTTCTTTGTCACAATTTATGGGGATTACTCATGAGGAATTTGATAAAATGTTACAATTATGTCGTTCAGAGCTTGATTCAAATAAATATTGTTGGAGCGTTTCTAGGTAAGAAGAAGAAAGAAATATTTTTTATTTTCTTAAGTTTAATTTTAATTTCTAAAATTTAATAAATTTTAATTTTAGAATCTTTGCTCAAAAAAAAATCTAAAATAAAGCCCTAAAAAAATATTCTTTTTTAACAATAAAACAATAAAAACAATATTAAGAGTGAAAAATTTTTGCAAAATCTATGTTATACTAATGATTAAACTCAAAGATGTTTATTAAAAACATATATGTCCTTGCATAAAAACTGCTGTGATTGGCTAGTTTCATTAATATTTCTTAAATTATATTTAATAATGTCATTTATTTACAATTTAATTATTAATAAAATTCATGTATTAAGTTTCGTGCATATTTATATGTATTTATATAACCTCTTCTACTTTGCGTCCACTCTTCAATGTTCACGTACGTACGAATGAAATCCATTTTCAAGTATTCTTCAAATAAATCTCAACAGTTGATGACGTGACTCTTCAGCATCAGCGTAATTACTGTAATTACCAGTCTAGCTAAAATTATTGTGTAACATTAGTTCAAGTTATTTCTTAATTCCACAACATAAACTCTTAATATCATTTTTTCGGCAGCACTTCTTCTATCAGAAAAAGTAATAGTTTGACTTTTTCAGCTCTCTTGTAAAATTTTATTCTATTGGCAATTTTGAATATTTACGATATTAAAACTCAAGATTCTTTAAGTAAAAACTTTTAAACAAAAAAAAGTACCCAACGATATTTATTTTTAGCGAACTTTTCAATAGAAACACTTTAAAAAACCATATATAATAGAACTTTTTTACGAAATGTAGCTTTTATTTATTTATATAATAAAATTTAAAGGATCCAACTATTAAAGGCCAACTTACTTCAAAAAAAAAAGTAGTAATTATAAAAGATTATTGTTTTTATTTCGTCTATGACGAGTTATATATTGACAAATTCGATTTTTTACCCCATTCATCCCCTAATGCTTCTTTAACTTGATTTATTTGATCATCTGTTGAATATTCAGAACAAGTTACTAATGATTCTAAAAACTTTTTTTCTTCAGGTTTGGTTTCGCGACGAGCTTGTCTTTGTTTTTTTTAGTGGTCTGTCTTGTTCCATTACATTCCTTGAATTGTTTGGTATTTGTTGATTTGAAATTGCTCGATTAGAATTTTATGTGTTCAAATTCGATGTAACAGTTGATACAACTTTTTTCCTTTTTGATTTTTGATCATTAGGTCTCCATCCTGTAATTTCTAATTTCCTCCTTCCAACTTTGTTACTTTTTTGCGCCGAAATAACATCTTGTAGGAAAATTGCTTCTATCCTTAAAGTTCCACCAGGAAAACAATTCTCAAGACGTGTAATACTGGCTGCTGTAAACTGATCAGGAGAGGTAGTATTTCATAATGGATTATGATATCAATTATAATCATCAGAATTGGAAAATGCTAACAAATGTTCGTGTACCAAATTCCACATGACTGATTTACGAGTATTCACGGCTCTTTGTCCAATCGAACCACAAGGATCATTGAGGTATTCTGATAATAAAATTCCTATTCGATCTCATTCACTCTGTGCAGCTTTGACTTGTAACTTTAAATTATTAACGTCAATTACATTCCAGTAATACTCTTTTTAACAAACTTGACACCAAATGTCTCAAGTGCTTCATCAAATGCAAAATAATGGCCTTTCTGTTTTTCATCATTATCAATTTTTACTGATGATGTGCATTCTAATTTTTCCTCAAGTTTAGGATATTGAGCTAATGCTCTGAGATATTGTGCAACTGATACTGAATAATTTGACTTTCCTGCTAATGCAAATAATCCTGCAAAACAAGCTAAGGCATTTTTTTGTAACTTGTAATTACCAACATGAATTCCAATACAGTGAACTTTAAAGATTGATGCCCATTTATAATAGAAATACCATATTTATAAAACACTATTAACACCACTATCTGCATCTGTAATATTTTATTTTATAAGGTTTGTTTTCTTCATGTAAATATGAATAGCAATAGTTACTGTACACCATACTAATTCTAAAACATAAACTGTAGAATGATAATCAATGACTTTGTAAAAATTTGACTCCTAATGCTTTTGCCAAGTCAAAAATTCCATAGCTTGAAAACAACACAATAAGAACTTCACACATGTCTTTCAAGGTATGCAATTGACCAAGAATAGGATGTAGATTTGGCCATTGCTCTCGTTGTTTGATTAGTCTTCTAAAAATTGCTTTATCAGCTACCATATCTAAGTAGTTATGCAGTCCTAATTTAAAATCCTGTTTATACATTTCTGTAGACCAGAATGTTCCTTCATCTGAATTTGGGATCCTTCTAGTTTTCAAAATAACTATATTGAATATACCAGCTGAACAACTGTGATCAACATTTTCAAGAATTTTTTGGTGAATAGTTGTCATATCAAAATTGGTATTGTTATCTGTGTAAACCTTCTACAATTTACAAAGACAATGGGGTAAAATAATACTAAAACTAATAAATAAACTAAGTATAACTACAAAAATACTAATCTCATGACAAAATAATCACAATACAAGGGTTTATATGTAGAAGGAATTAAGTACGATCAATTATGAAAGAGGCGTATTTACTATTAACAGTGGTATGAAGACTTGTTAATAGGAGCAAACGGTTTATCAATTATCAAATAAATACAATAAATAAAGGACTCAAAAGATTTTATAATAATAACCTTATTACTTAATAAATCCTAACTAATTTGAAAACTAAAAGATGAACTTGTACTGGTCGAAAATTGATAAAATATATACATATCAGGTACCCGATATGTGTATGTTTTATTAATTTTTGACCAGTGTTAAGAACTGAAGACTGAGTTAAGAAAATTCTCAGCCTTTATATACATTATAATTTTAACTACTAAGCTGACTTGTAATCTGACTGTAAACTTCACTAGTAACTATGCTAATATTCTAACTAATATCTTAACTGTTAATTTAACTTGTACCTTGACTGAGATATTAACTTGTATTCTGGCTTATACTCTAACTTTGTGTTCTAGTGTTACAGATTATTAATTTAAGTAATATTTTCTAATTTGTACTACAGACTATTAAATTGATCTACTGTAATACTATATATAATGATAAAATATATAATTAATAATAAAATAATATAGATATGAATAAATAAGATAATAAAATATATAGATGTATAAATAAATAATTAATAAAACAGAGGTAACAGTATATATTATATAAGAAATTATTGATGTAAATCACTTAGAAATTGATATAACTATTAGGTATTATGACTATAGATCTGAGTATAATTAACAGTGTAGACAGTGTAGTGTATAGCATAATCAATAGTATAATGAATAGTGTAATAGATAGTATAGTAGAAAGTGTAGTTAATAGTGTATATATCAGTATAATTAATAGTGTATACATTAGTGTAGTCTATAGTATAATTTATTATAATTTCAATTATATATATAAAAGGCTAAATTTCTCTTTGCTCAGTTCAGAGTTCCAATTTAGTTCTTTAGTTAGTCCAGTAGCTAACTCTTAGTTCTTGTTAATAAAATACTTTGTAATTTACTTTATAAATAATAAATACCTTAGTGGATTATTATTTATGCCATTATAATTTCTTAATGAAATTCTGTATTATTCCTTGGTAAATACTAAAACCTTTGTTGATTTATACCTTGCTTTGTAATCTTGGTATACTGTTTTTGTGTTATAATTCTCTACTTAGTATTAGAAATTATCAGTTTAGTTTAGTTATATTCTTTGTAAATAGTTTAATTTATACTAAAAAGTAATATAGTTGAAGGATTTAGATGTTGTGGATTTGTTCGAAAGAGGTAAGGGTATGAGATTTTTATAAGAGTTTAACTAGTTAGTAGCTTATTATATTTTAGTTTAGCTACCGTATCTTTAGCTAATAATTAATTGTATCCCTTGAAGGTCAAATCATGGTCAACAACATAAATAATAAATCAAAATTTTTTTTTTTTTATTTAAATAATTAATATTAAAAAAAATAAATTATTTATTTTGTAAAATATATTTATATTTATAAAAGTTTTAATGTTACACCTTACTTTTTATTCATCAATTTATGTATATTACATATTATTAAATTATAATTCTAAATTTATATTTATAGTTTGAACTTTATTATATAGTCTTGAGTATAAATTTACATATTTTTGAACTTTAATTGATACAATCTTCAATCTATATTACATAGTTTTAAATTTATACTACAAGTCTTGAGCTTTAATCTTATATTTATAGTTTTGAACTTTATTTAAAGTCATATTAAATTTATTATATAGTTTGTTTAATTTACATAGTCTTGAGTTTTTAATTAACTTGATCTTGAATCTATTTTATATAGTCTTGAACTTTAATTAACTTAATTTTGAATTTATTTTATATAGTCTTTAGTTTTATTAAGTGTGAAATATTCATGTACTTATTTTTAATAATGAGTTTAATTTATTTTAATAAATCTATATAATTTTACTTTAATTAATATAATTACTTTAGTTGCAAGTTATAACTTCAGATAATTACTTATTACTATACAAATTATGTTATTATTTTGATTTCAGATTATAACTTTGATTTAGGTTGTAACTTTGATTTTAGGTTACAATTTTAATACTTTGATTTTAAGTTGTAATTTCAGGTAGTTACATTTTGAAATTTTATTATTGTTTCTACTTTCAGAAACAGTTGCAGAAGGTATTATTAATTCATAAAAGGCTACTATTTGATTTTTTTTGTTATGGAAATTCAGGAACTTGATTTATCCCAGATTCATCTAAACTTGAAACAATATCTTGTACATTGCTTTTTAATACAGTTAATACAAGAAATTAAAATATTTATTTAGCTTTCATTTTGATTATAATTGTTTTACAAGAATAGTGTTTGTAAAACTTCAAATATTTATCAGTTTCAAAATTTTACTATTACAATATTTTATATTTTATATTTTATATTTTATATTAAACTACAATATTTAGCAAATTAATTGTTCTTTGTATTTTTTTTTTTTTTGAGCTTTTAATTAATAAAGTATGTTCACATGATTTACTTGATTTGAAAAAAGCCCAAAATCGTATATCTGATATCTATAAATATTTATTTATTTATTTTCAAAAAGAGATAGTAAGTAATAAGTACAGTAATCACTTTTTTTCACCAATCAAACAAATACATATATATATATCTAAAATTGATTGGTTTACTCATACCCAAAAAAATCCGATAGAATATGCGCAAAAATCAGATAAATCTTTTTAGGGTGATGCAACATAACACACCGAATATTACCAAATCATTACCGTATCCTCATAACCAATTCTCCAATTAAATATAAAAAAAGAGACGTGAACTTGTAAAGAATTAAGAGTAAAATGGATAATAGAATGGATAAAACTCTTATTATTCTTATTATTAACTTTATTTTTAGTTATTTATTTTTTTTTTATCTTTATCTGATAAACCTAAACCTAATGAGATACTGACACAAAAGGTACAAGGCTGAATTCGGATCTGATAAAATTTTTAATATATGGATAATGTGAGTAATAATTAGAAATAATAATAATAAAACAAATGATTTATCAGATTTTGTTAATCCATTGTAATTGATTCATTCGTATGTCATGTCATTTTTGAAACAAATATTTAAATATCACTTTTTCTTGTATTTCACAAAAAAAAAAAAAAAAAAAAAAAGTTGACTTTTTAAATCTCCCTTTAGTTAGTAATAATAAATTATAATAATAAATTAATAATTATTTTTATAGAATTAATAAAATTTACTTATTTTATTTTATTGCAAAAAAAAAGAATGGAGAAAATGGAAAGATCATATTTTCGTCGAATATATGAAATTATTTCTTCTGTAATAATTTCACCTCGTTATACGGATACTTCTGACTCCACTTCCGAAGAAGACCAACCGCAAGTACAATATCATAATCATCATTATCGAGAAAATCCTTTATTACAAACGTCTCCTCGAAATGATGAATTAATATCATTAGAATATGATCCTTGTCTGAATTGTGCTGACCCTTGTTCAACTCACCCTGGTTACCCTTCTTACTTAAAAATCGATTATCGAACACCATTAGAGGGTACAGTTAAACCCTACGTAAAACATGTTTTAATATCTACGGGTAAATCAGATTGGTCAACTTATATAGAAGATGAATGTGGTAGTTTGGCAGCTCATTTACATAAAGTAATAAAAAGTGATAAAGTCTCACCACCATCAAAAATAATTAATAATAATAATAATAATAAAAGAGATTCGTCAAGAAAAGAAAAGAAGAATAATAAAGTTGAAATTTCACCATTACAAACTCAACGACGACGACAACAACAAAAAGAACCAACAGAAAAAGAACCAACAGAAGATTCTTTTAATGAAAAACCTCGTATAGTTATTACGAATAGTAGTCGCCTAAATACTGATAATAATGGAAAAGGAAGTGATGTTTTATTATTTCCTGATAATATTCTTATTAGAAATGTGACACTTAAACAAGCATCAGAATTTTATAAAAAATTTTTATCATCAAATTTATCTAATGGTAATGGTGGTAATGGTGACGGTGTCATTACGGATGAAAAAGAACAACATAATAATATTAAATTTATCACAGAACCAATGCCATATAAAGCAGTTATTGTAATATGTTCACATAAACGAAGGGATAAACGGTGTGGTATTACAGGACCTTTATTGAGAGATGAATTTAATAAAGTATTGAAAGAAAAAGGATTAGATGTAGAATCACATCAAAATGAAGGTGTGGCTGTATTTTTGAGTAGTCATACAGGAGGTAAATTATTACTTTTTCTTTTTCTTTATATTTTCATTATTATTATTATTAGCCATCATTTTAAGTAATCGTATGATAATTTTTTTTTCTTATATAGGTCATAAATTTGCTGGTAACGTGATAGTTTATCGTGATGGACAAGGTATTTGGTATGGTCGAGTCGTTCCATGTCATGCTAAAACTATAATAGAAACAACAGTTCTAGAAGGAAAAGTAATTCAAGAATTATATCGTGGTTCAATGAATGGTAGTTTTGCTCCAGGTAGAGGTGGAAAATTGGATTGGTAAAAAAAAATATATATATATAATATTAATTTAATTAATTTAATTAATTGAAATAATTTATTGGTCAAAAAGGATCAACCACCTTTAAGCATTTAATGCATTCCAAAAATACATTCAAAAATATTATAACATTATAAATATTATTCAATGTCAAATAAAATCATCATTCACACTTCTTCACTTAATTTTATAACATAGTTTTCCGATTTTATTATTAATCTTAAAAATTTAAAAGTAGAAATTAATAAAAATTATAGAAAATTCTTAATGAAATAATCTTCCAATCATTTCTAGCAATCCATAGAACTTTTTTATCAGCTCCAATTTTAATATAATGTTGTATGTATGTAGTTTGTTCACTAAAATAAAATAAATTAAAATAATATAAATAAAAATAAACTAATGAAACAAACCAAATTAAGTAAAATTAAAAAATTAAATTAAAAGAATTTCATACCATATCACATGATTTCACGTTATTTAAAGAATACAAATCGTTAAGGGATTAAAGCGTGACGATCTTTAACAAAATCTTCTCAACAATTATCTAATTTACCCTCCTTGATAGTCATAATTAAAATGTGGAGTAATAACATGTTGAAAAAGTATGAATGTGGAGTATGAAAATGATGAAGGATGTACGTGGAATGTGTATGAATCATGTGTGAATGAATTTTATTTTAATAAAAAAGTTTAATCTATTATTTTAACTATGATAAACAAATTTAGCTATAAAAAATTTTAAAACTCTCGATCTTCCTGCTATGTATAATAAATTTGATTTTTCAAATGCAAATGATTTACACGATGTAAATTAATAACTCCTTTTAGTGTTTCTCTAAATGAGATTAATTCTTGAGATTTGGATTCCACCAATTCGGAAGGAGCTAATATTGATGCTACTTCCACTATATAATTATTATCATCGAAAGGTTTTAAGGATGTTACATCGTGTACTTTGTCTAACTATTAAATAGTAATAAAAATAAATACATTAAAATACATTAAAAATACATTAAAAATACATTAAAATACATTAAAAATACATTAAATATATTTAAAATATATATATATATATATTTTTAATACTTACTGTAAAAATTTGAAAAATAGAAATTTTCAATGAATCACGAAAAGTAAAAATTATTCCTTTTTTTACATATTCATAAGCGTATCTTAAGTTAAATGAATAAATAAAATAAATAAAATAAATAAATAAATAAATAAATAAATAAATATATATATATTTATTTATATTCATCTTACTTATATCCAAGAACGGACATAAATTTAAGTGCATCGCCATTAAAAATTTTTGCATATATTACTCTTCTAACTGTGACATTTAATGCGTGACCTGTCGTATCTGGATTTCCTAATTGACCCAATTGCCTAAATAAACGAACAAAATAAATAAATAATTATTTAAAGACATAAATAGGAATAAATCTAATAGATAATAATAATTGCCATTGACGCTTGGTTAAATCGTTTTCATCAAGTGGTGATTTTAATCTCAATACTAAATCATCATTACGAGCTCCCTCAGGTGTTTGAACTATACTTATATAAAAAAAAAGAGTAATTAAAAAAAATTCATTGTAATAAAAATATCATACAAGACAAGATTTATAAATAAAGAAGATAAAACTTGCCAGCAGGTATAAACCCAATTTCATGTTCAAACACGTTAACAGGTGTTGTTGTACCACAAATTCCTTCGAGTCTTTCTATTAATTTTGGTTTTAGATTTTCTGGTATCCTTCCATGTAGCGAACACTCATTTAACAATGAAGTCATTTTTAAAATATCAAATTTTAGATATCTCATCTTATCTATTTGTCTATTTGTTGCACTAATGCTAATAGTACATAATCATAATTTACTGGATGCATATGCATTTGCATTTTAGATAATCTATATATCATAATCAATATTGATATAATCAATAATAACAAAAAAAAATGATAAATGATAATATTTATAAATTTTTAAATTTCGTTTTGTTAAATTACATGACATGATTAATTCAGAGGGTGCGTTATATTTTTCATTGTTCTATTTTTACTATGTTTTACTAAATGATGAATGCAAATATGAAATACATAAAAAAATTCTTTTTTACGAATGATTTTGTTTTTGGAATGTTTTTTTTTTTTTTGTAAATGGTTTAAAGAAAAAAAATTTTTTTTTTTTTTTTAAAGAATATCTTAATATTATTTATATAAGTTATTTTTTTTTTATTCTTAATAATTACGTAATGCACTGAGTGTCATTTCGTAAGCAAGAAATGTTGCAGCGTTGGCAGGAAAAGCTCTTGCCATCGTTGGTCCAAATCCTCGGGAAAATGTTTTAAATATTGATGTGTTGGTTGCTCTGGCATTCGAAATTATAGCTCGAAAACATTCGATCGTTGATTTAAATCTATATATGAAAAAAAAATTTGATATAAAAATAAATACGATAAATAAAATAAAAACATAAATTCGATATAATAATAATAAATTCGATAATAAATAAAAAAAAAGAAAACTTACTCGAGATTTTTTTGCATTTGACTTTTAATGACATCTTGCGGGTAACAAGGGATCCAACAAGCAATACCTGCTGTTCCACCAGCTAAAATTAGTTCCCCGTATGAAAGTTTAGAACTATCCCCATTGTAATTTCTCTTCGATATTATTTGTTTGACTGCTTCATATGTAACTTAAAAAAAAAATAAAATAAAATAAAATAAAAAATTTTAATAAAAATATATTTCATTAAATTTAAGAATATCACGAAATTTAAATTCATTATTTAATTCTTACAGAAATATGTAGCAAAACTTGGTATATCTCGTAATACGGTTATCGTAATACCGTGATATAATCCAGTTATTCGACGTTTTTTGAATATTTGAATTCCTGCATCAATAACTCCATTATACTACATATTCAATATAATATTCGAAATATTATTAATTAATTAATATTTAGTAAATATAATGAGAAAACATTTATTTGTTATAATACTTACTTTACGTTCGGTTACAAATTTTTTGTTGTTGCTTTCAGTTTGTAATTGAACTTTAAGCAATTCCACAGGAGTATTAAAGAATGCCATCACAGCACCTGTATATGCACCGGCAGTTCCAATTTCACCTACATTTTGATATAAAAGATGAAACATAAGACAAGGCATAAAATTGGTAATAATAATTATAATAAAAATAAAAATTAATTAATTACGTAATGAAAGCGTTCGTTTTTCACCACCACCAATCAATCGACGAAATGTCTCGTTTGTAGTGAATAAAACCGCATTACTATATTTTAAAAATATGTTAAAGATTAATTAAAAAAATATTAATTCCGTAGTAAATCATGTCATGTGGTCGAGATAACTTACCAAAGCCCATTACCCATTAAAGGAGAAGTTGAACCTTTATATAATCCAAGAAACTTTTTGACAATAATAATAATAAAAAAAAAAAAAGGAATTTAATTTTAATTAGAATTCTCTTTCAAATACTATTAAAATAATAATAATAATAATAATAATAATAATAATAATAATAATAATAATAATAATAAAGGTCAATACCCCATATTTTCTGTATAAAACCCCGAGACATTCTATTGCACTTCGATATTTTGATCCATTGGTTTGAAGGTTAACTTTAACTGTATCGAAGGGAAATCCTTTAAAAAAAAATTTTAAAAGTTTATATATATTTTTCTCCCACAAACTTTCATTCACACACACATAGATTTTTATTAATGTTAATTTGATATTGATATGAACTCTTTACCTACTACAACTTGCACCCAACCAGCGACTGTACCAGAAATTAGATTTTGCGCGGGAGGGGATAAAGTAAAATGATGTGCTGGAGAATAAACGTCCATTTTTTTTAAAGAAAGTCTTTTTTGATATTTATTATAATTATATTATTACAATATTATTTGTATTTATAATTTTATTATATATATTTTTTTATTATTTTATTTATATAAAAAGATTAGATTATTTTGAATTGATTTATTGGCGTTCTGTAATGTAATACATAAACACAAATATCCTTACTTATTATCTCATTTGATTTACCATCTTGATTATCAAGAATAAATTTAATTTTAATCTTACGAATGTAACAATGAAATAAAGATAAATATTTACTCAAAATATTCAATATATTCAAAAAAATATTCAAAAATATACAAAATACTGGTTAAATATGTATGAAAATCGTTATTTAAGTTAGTGTGTTTGTGAATATACTTTTAAGTGTAGTTACAGTTATGATGATGATAACGGAGAAGAAAGTATTTCTTTATTATTTGAACTATTACTCACAATTATACAATTATGTTGTGAATGTTTAAAAATGGAAAAACTTGTAGAAACAAGTAATTTTTGATGGGATCAGTTATTAAAGTCTTTAAATGATTTAACTAAAAGTGAGAAATGACCTAAATCATTTAGGTCAAATTTCAAATGGCAGGTCACTAACCAATCATAATTCGCCAATATTTAAAATTCATTTATCTAAATGTTCGTGGGGTTCCATTAGCAATCTCTAATGGTCTCCTTATCCCCATTGTTCAGTTTTTTTTCAATATGATTTTTTATAAATGACTTTTTTAAATGATGATTTTGCATGATTTTTGGTTCGTGTCGTCATTTGCGACCAGTTGGTATATGTAGTTTCCCCAGCATGCATGCATGTATTTATGTATTTATGTATTTATGTATGTATGCATGCAGGTAAAATAAGGAAAAAAACATTTTACGTAATGCTCTATAAATAACAAAAAATAAAACAAGGTTAATCTTTTATGACGCTAATAAAAAATTCGTGAGTACACGATAAGAAAAATTTCTAATTTTCAATGTATTTGTGAGCTGACTTTGTAAAAATTGATATTTAAATAGTTTCACTAAAAAAAACACGTCACAAAGCCTTAGAAGTACCAGAAAATTTGTAAATGATAAAAATCATCTATTTCTCAATGTATTTACAAGCCAACTTAGCAAAAAATTAAATATCTATAACTTTGTAAATAGTTGCAAGTAATTATTATAAATTAAAAAAATAAATTTATAAGTCCGATAACGAGATATAAATGGGCGTACGATAATATCTCACCTTGGGGTGAACTCCAAACTCTTTTGGTTTTCAAGATAAGAACAAATTTCGTTATTTATGAAAGCAAAAAACAGATCTTGAACTAAATTACAAAATAGTTTTCCGGAAAAATTTTTAAGAGAATATGATAATTCTAAACTTATTGAGGAAGAATCTTGTTTAGATTTGCAATAAAATGCATTGGAATCATGTAAAATAAAAAATATACATTATCTCGCGATATGCCCTTAAAATTTCCAGATAAAGACATGATAAATAGAAAGGCATGATTGTAGAATTCACCAGTATCAATAAATATTTAGGTACAATGGCGGGTTGGCATTTCCCTATTACCTTGAGTTGTCGAGACCTACATGCCGTCGAAATTTAAAAAGGAAGTTACAACCTTTGTTGAGATTTCCTTTTTTTTGAATATAGACAGTACTCTCGATATAATATATAAGAAATTTCGTCTGTGAAACTGATTTCCTATAAAAATTGCTGCAATAAGTTATGTTAATTTACACAAACTAGATTCGATAGTTTTGATAATTTTTTTTGATAGACAAATAATTTTTCTATTATTTTACACGTTGACTTTAAACGGAATATCTCAATCAATATTAGGAATACCTTAGTAGAAAATCGCTCCCCGCGGCGTAAATCGCAAATTCATAAAACGGAAATTTTGACAAAAATTCCGTAATGTTACGCAATAATACAAATTTTACAGAATTTCAAAAAAAAAGACTTTGCGCGCGATTTACGCCGCGGAAAGCGATTTTCTACTAGGATGTTCTTAATACTAATCGAAAGCCTTTATTCTGGGCTACACGATGATATGTGTTTCATTCTTGTAACTCTAATATCCACTGAGATATTCCGGTTTAGAGTCAAACGTCTGTGTAAAATTTCCGTAAAGTTACAAATATGTATTTACGATCGTCATTATTTCTCTTGATTTGTTTTTAACATTTTCCTTGATTTTAAAATAAGGCATATTCTTTAAACAAAAATGATAGTAAAGAATTTGGAAAATCAACTAATAATCGTAAAAGAAAAGAAAGTCACCATTGATAGCGACAGAAAGCGATCATCAAAAAACAGATAATAATTTACCTGAACAATATAAAAGAAAAAAAAATTCAGTTGTTAATAATTATGTTGAAATTTCTAATAATGAATTTGATGGAGAATGATCAAGATCGATTACCTAGTTACCGAAGAAATTGTCAATAAAATCGAAATTGAAGAACAAGCAGATGATAATTCTCACTTAAATCACAATCAATACCTTTAATATCATCAAATTTTTCAACAAAATATTACAGATTTCGAGGATTCTGTACATGCTCTTATATTATTAGCACAACTACCCTGCCTATAACGGAAAATACGCAAAAATATATACAAAAAGGGGGGAAAAACAATATGATCATCCTACACGAGCACGGTAGAAGAAAATAACATCACCATATTGGATGTGAAGAATGTGAAGAAATTTAACAATTCATTAAATCAATATGGTACAAATTTCAAGAAAATTTCTGAAATTCTTGAAACCAAATCAGAAACTCAAGTAAAGAATTATTGGGAAAAACATATTGCTTCGAGTGTAATTCCAAAAACGGTTGAATCTCGACCTGAAACTCTAGAATATTTAGAAACTTAACCTTCTATCTCTACTATGTCCATCACTCACACCCACAACCAGTTAACCAGTTGTTCAGACTTCTTCAGATATTAATATAGAACAACAAACTTTTAATAATAATGTTAATAATAATGGAAATTATTTTAACAATAATAATAATAATAAAATAATTGAAGTGACACAGCTGCAGGTTGACTTCTCCATCCGGAAATTATAATCGATCAAGTTCTCCACAATCATCAGTAAAAATTGATATCACATTTATTGAACCAATCAACAGACGACAATATATCTCACGAGAATTGGTTCAATCATCAGACAATCCAATTGTTATTGATGTAGACGCAGAAGAATCAAGACCTCCTGAAGTAATGTCATCAGTAATTATTAATCAGCCTACTCTTATTTAGTTTATTTCATCAATACCCGTTACTCAATCTACTCAATCTACTCAACCTAATCAACCTCTTAATCGTTCACAAATTATTATGATACCACATCAACAACAACATCAGAATCAGCAACAACAGATACAACAAACACATCGGCGACAGCAACAAATGCAACAATCACATCATCAACAACAAATTCAACTTCATATCCAACAACAACTACTTCATCATAAACAACGAAGGGTTCGAAATCAAGAGAATCATATTCCAAGATAGGAACAATTACAGTATTTCATGCCAACTATTTCGATCCTCAACAGTCACAAAACATACCACAACATCGACAGGATTGGTAGAACTAAATCAATTTCGACAATCAAGTTCCCTTCCTCAAGTGTATTATTCATCAAATACTCTACCACCTCCGCCACCACATCATTCTGTTCAACTACAAGGACCTAATAACATGACACCTAGTAACCCAATAATATAAAAACTAGTAATTTTGCACCTAGTAATCTGTCACCTAATAGTATGTCACACCAGCATCAATGTATCTTCCATATCAGCATAGTAGTTTAATTGTTCCGGAGGTTATATAAAATGTATGAACTTAGTATAAAACTTGTGCGTGTGAAAATTCATTGAAATCCTTTATTATTATTAAAGTATCGAAATGATTTAATTACCGATCCGCCACTCAGTGGTACAAAATAATTAACAAAACCGAAATGCCGAGATTAGAGCTTTCTTTCCAAACATCTAATATAATATTTACATTGACAAAAAAATTTACAAACAATTCCTAAATGTTGTCAATTAGTCAAAATTATACCAAATTCCCGTCACAATTTTTTACTTAATAAAAGTATTAGTTATAAATCTAAAAAAAAAAAAAATCAATATAGATAATTCAAACATCTAAGAAAAAGTGGTTCAAAAAAATATGAAATTTCTATCGATTAGGATTAATCTTATAAAATCTTATAAAAAATGCTCAATTTACGAAAATTTAATTTTTTTTTTCATTTTAATAGTGAATAACTTGATAGAATAAATGTGTATGACTATTGCGTTCCCTTCTTAAATATATATCTTAACACATAAAAAATATTTATTTTTAAATTATCAAAATGTCGGGATAAATTTTTGACAATCTATGACTGTACCATTGAGTGGCGGATTATCAATTAATTATTTAATATTACGATTGTACTATTGGAGGTTGAATACTGTTACAATTCTTTTTCATCATTTTTATTATTTTATATATATATTATTTATCAAAATTTAAGATGTAGAGTTAACTTGTTATTATATATACAATGGTATATAATACGTATTGAACTACACGTACAATTTATGCATGCAATATTTTACAGATTTTGTGCTACTGGAATATAAATTTTAATAAAATTCTAACTGGTTCGATACATACGGAGGAATTCGTCTCGAATTAGCAAAAAATCCAATGAAATCGGATCCAAGAGAAGTTGTTGAGGAATTGTAATGTCAGGAAATGTATCACGATCCAAACAATCAAGGAATATGCTGATAACACATTGGCCTTGTTGAATAATTTTAGGATTTCCATATTGGTCATGAGTACCAAATTCAAACTAACAATAAACATTATATTAGAAATTTTTCAATATATTGATAAAAAGGAACTTTTTATTTGTGACATTACATAAGATCGAGGTGAGGTGGGATATTTGCTATTCTTGGTCTGTCCGCAGTACAAAAGTGCCAAACCTACAGTTTAAATTCTTTAAAATGATGAGAACATTGAAATGCCACTTGCAATTTAGGAAATATAGCTTACCTGCGTGCGTGTAGGCACTTCATCATCTGGAAGTGGATAAATTTTGATAATTATTGCATCGTGGACACGACTAAGATTAGATAGCCAATACATGTTGTTCGCTCTCAGAGTACGCAACTTCAACAACAAGATTTGGTCAAAGTTCTTTCTGAAATCATGAAAATATGAAACCTCTGTGATGAAGAGTTCAGAATCAATATAAGAAGGTATCTTTCCATTGTTCCTGTTTGGTGGTCACAATGGCGGTTTTGCAGGGCGAAAACATGCATATGCGGCACGAATTCCTTAAGAAAAACAAAGAATTAATCTATCGTAAACGTAAGGTTGACAGTTAGTGAATTAATAGTTACGAATTACGCCAAGACTCCCAATACTGGCATCAGTAAAGTCAACAGGACTCCAACACAAATTAAGGAGCTTAGTGATTAAACCAATAAATGTTTCATGGTAGTTCATAAATGATGGCTTTATAATTGACTCATTCCCATAGACCACGGATATTAAGTTCGTCTTCATCCTTCAGCGATCAATATGGAAGTCTTGATATAATCAGCGAAAATTAGTTTTTATGAGTCACTAGCTCATAAAATATTCAGTCAACGTCAGAACAAGCACAAAGGAACTTACATTGCCTCTTCCCATTTTGCTTGTGGATGTATGTTACCCTCTTTCCACCATAATCGGCGGAGTTTTGTTAATTCATCGTCAGGCTTATAAACGACACGAATGCTATCGTTACAAAGAAATGGCTTTAGCCAAAAATTAGAAGTGAAGTACCAGTTACAATATCTATTCACACGTATCGATAGTAACGTTCTCTATTTATGATAAAAATATGTTATCATTATCCTACTCTCAAGGGATTTGAAGCGAAGTTAGAAATCATATCCTCTTTGACGCTGGTCTGCTAATGTTGAAGTCATAACTGTCATAACTGTCACAACTGTTATACAAGGTTGTCATTTTTGCTGTTTTGAAGAATTTCCAGTTTTGTAAATGAATTGAGCTTATGAGGAAGAAAATTGATATATGAATAATTCCAGTACGTTTACACGTGGTAACACAACATCGAAAACTAATTTTTTTTTAGATTTTAACTTTTCCTAGTCAATTATCGATTACTAAAAAGGCGGACAATAATGATTTCTCTTTCAAAAACTTTCCCACATATGTATGACAGAATTAGCAGGACTAACAAATCAGGGTCAAATGGTGTATGATTTTTACTTTATTTCAAATCTCTTGAGAGTAGAATAATGACAGAACATTTTACCATAAAGCGCGCCACTAGTTTTACCTCGAATCAAAGGTAAATAAATATTGCAACTGATATTCACGTCTAATTTTTTAGCTAACTAAAGCCTTTTCTTTGTAACGATAGCACTTTTGTTGATATTAAGCCTGATGAAGAATTAACGAAACTCCGCCGATTATGGTGGGAAGAAGGTAACATACATCCGCAAGCAAAATGGGAAGAGGCAATGTAAGTTGTTCTAACGTTTTTTGACTGAATATTTTACGAACTAGTAAAACATATAAACTAATTTTGGCTGATTACAATAAAGACTCCCATACGTGCTTGCTGAGGGTGTGACTTTGGACGAATATGAACATCGCACTGACAAGTTTAACGTTCACTTCAATTCTCTCAATGAATCTTTTGTGGATTATGTATTTGCCATTGTTTTATCTAAAATATGGATATATTCAAAAGTTTAGTCACATAACTTTTGCAGTTATAGAGTTATAAACCCATATTAACAATTAAATTACAATGTGAAAAAAAAATATAGATAAAAATTGGCAAACCTTGTTGAAAGTTTATGTTACCTGCCTTCTACGATGCTAATAAATTAATAAAATTTTCAGAAATCTGTACAAAAGAAGTCATTAGTTTGTAAACCCAGAAGTTGATTCTTTGTTAGCTTACTGTTTGACTCCATTGTGTAACCTGTATAGGGTACCATTTAGAAAATAAATGTGAATCAATATTGATTTTTTTACATTTGTATGCGACTATGCGACGCGGCATTTGAGGACTAGAGTGTCTTATTTAACAAAATTCTGCCAAAATCCAGATAAAGTAAATTGAAAGATCCCAAGGAATTACCAAATAGTGCAAATCTTTTTTACCCGATTCATAGGGAAGCTCTAAACATTAATTACAAGAATGTATATTTAGCAGATGAAATACTCGACCCTCTTCCGGAAAACATAGAGATCAATAATGATTTACTTGTAAATAATTTTACTATCGATAATACCTGGGAGTTCTACTTTGGAGAAATAAAATAATTACTTTGAAAATCACTTGCACTGTATATTAATACAATTGTTCTAGATGATAGACTAATCACAGGCATTCAGGAAACACTCACGGATACATTTGTCGATTATCTTCTTAGAAAATTAGGTTTACATATCCATTATTAATGATATGGAATCAGACTTTAGCTTTAGAATATCCGATAAAAAAGTGTCTACAAGGTTGAATTTAGCATAGTAAAGAATCAATGGATTTTTTGTGTAGATGAGAATAAACACATACGCGGTATGTTTGAAACAACAGAATACGGAGAATTTTAAATATCAGCGAAATTCTCGTATTTAGATGAGATTAATTATAATTGCACCTCATTACTGCGCCTATGTCCTCAGTGACATGCGTCATATCAATACCACCAAAATTTAAAAAATGAAATCTCAACAAAGGTTGAACTTCCTTATAGTAATCGTAAATTATGTGCAACGAACGGTGTGAATTTTGGATAATTGATTTTTTGTCATAATTCATGACCAATCAATGAAACACGTTGATTTTTAGTCTCAGATTACTATTGAAAAAGTGTAATACACAATCTTCTTACATTTAAGTTATTTAATCGATACATACAAAATTTTAGTCTAAAGAAAAAAAAAATAAAAATAAAAATCCCAATCACTAATCCCAAATCAAATTAAAAACGAAAAAAAAAATAATAAAGTAATAAATAAAATATAGAATGAATAAATAATTATTCGATATTTTTTATATTGTGATCTTCCATTATTCCTTGAGCCGGTATTTACGTTTTTTACTATTAAATATGATAGAGAATTAATAGAGTATTAATATTATAATTAATAATAAAATTAATGTTATTCAAATTGGTAAATATTATAATACCTAACACGTATTCTCGGTTCAACAATGTTACGTTCTTCATAGCTAACCATTCGTTCTCTGAATAAATTTCCTTCAGGCTATATATATATATATATATATATATATGTATGTATCATTTTATAAGAAATGGAAATAAAATGTGGAAAATAAAAAATTAAAATATAAATATTTATTCTCATAATAATAGATTATTATTTATTATTATTATGAATGAACCTTGAATTCTCGAAAAGTAGGTGGAATTTCATCTGTGAGCAAAACATTTGTTGGTAATTTTCGTACTCTAAAATTGTATAGAAAATTCGAACATTAATCTCGTTCATAATGTAAATATAAATATAAATAAATTAAATAAATCAATATACCGATATTTTCCAATTTTATTTTTTGGCATTTTTTCGGCTTCTTTGGTCAATTTTTCGCGTTCTATCATCATTTTCTCACGTTCATTGAATTCTTTTTCTACCGTGGTTATAATCTCGGGAAGTCTGTTGATCATATCATATAAAAATTATTTTTAATTATATTTAATTATAGATTATTTTTTTATTTATTTGCTCATAAGAAGAATATCAAGAATACCTTTCTAGATTTTTTTTTAATTCTTTTCGTTGTTTTTTATGTTCCTCCATTTTCGATCTCTCCAATTTTTTCTTTTCTTTGTTACGTTCAGTTTTTGTTTTTTTATGATTTACTTTAGATTTATTTTCCTCTTTATTATTATTTTTATCTTTATTTTCCTCCTCTTCTTCTTCTTCTAAATCCGAAGAAATTTCATTCTCATTATCATTCATCATTATATTTTCTTCTATTATTTCTACCTTTAGTGAAGGAACTTGAGATTTAATGCGTTGTATTTTTTGTAATTTGATTTTTTCTTCTTTATGAGCAATCATTAGAAGTTCCTAATAATTTAATAATTGGTTAGTATCGGAGGAAAAAAATCGACTTAAATATTTAAATTAATTAGATTAAAATTGTAAATGTATATCTATTTCATCTAACCTGATGAGCTTGAGCTTCCGGCATATAACTTGCTCCGGAATGTGGAATTTTAACAGCTGGAACATTCCCTCCAGGTTTAATACTTAAAGTTGGAGGAGGCTTTAAAATAAAATAAAAAGAATTAAAAAAAGAATTAAAATAAAGATGATTAAAAATAATAAGACTCTACCTTAATCTTTCGTTTTTTTACCGGTTGCAAAAAATCATCATCATTTATTTCTGAATCTTCGGACTCTTTACAAAATGGAAATAAAAATAGAAATAGAAATATATATATGTGTGTGTGTGCGTGATAGATACAATACATCAAATATATGCTAATATCGAGTTATTTAAGTTTTTACCTTTCTGTGTCCATATATCATATTTTTCATTTATTTTCTCCTTCTCAGATCTTAATAATAATGATAATTGATTATCATCATTTGAACTATTTTTTTTTCGTGATAATTTTTCTAATCTAATTTTAGTATTTTTTGAAATTTGATTTTTTTCATTTTTATTACTTTTTTTTTTAGAGAAAATTGCTGGTATTTTGCTTCGATTTTCCAAAATCTGGTTAACATGCAATTTGGCAAATTTCTTGGTTAAATTTTTCCGAACTATTATTTAATTATAATAATGATAATAATAATATTGTCATTAATTAATTTTTCAATTAAAATTTTCCATCAATCAATCCATCAATTAATACCATCAATTAATACCATCAATTAATATAATTAATATCAATCAAACCTTGAGCATCACCCTTTGTATCTAAAAAAAAAAGTTTTTCACTTGGTATATCTTGAATTTTTCCACTATTTAATTATATATTTAAATTAATGATAAGTAATTGAAAATTTTTGCGTATTCCTAGAAATTCTATACATTCCCCCACCAATAGTAATAGAAATAAATTAGATCAATCCCATTTCAAAAGTTTACCCCAGTAATCTTTCTTCAGCTCTTATTCCGTCTAAAGTTTCTTCAATATCTGTAATATCAACATTTTTTCGCCAGGCTTTTTTTCCCTTTCGACTTGGTCGAGTTGACTTTTTAACTGGTGAATCTGTAGAAACCGTAGAATCTATCTGTGGCATTTTTTTTGATTTGGTCATTTAAAGAACAAATATTAGATCATGCATTAAAATATTTGTGGGGGATTTTTTTTTTTTTGGTCATTCTTTGTTTATTGGTTTGATAATAAATAAGGTTTTTTTAGATGAAAATCATTTTGAAAATCATTTTGAAATCCATTTTTCACATGTTGAAAAGATGAATATAAATTATATTTTACCCCTTTCGTAATCGTTCATAAAATTCCAAATTATAAAAGTATTAAATTATATTCTTTTCATTTCATTAAATTCATTAAATAAATAAAAAAATAATATATTAAAAATGTTGGTCGAAGTAAGAAATATATTCCTTTATGTGTTGCTTACAAATTCCAATGTCTACAATTCTGTTTAACTTCGATTTTTTGCTTTACAAATTCCATATTAACATTTTTTTTTACATTTTATTATTCTTTTATCATTATTATTATTATTATTATTATTATTATTATTGAATTCAAAAGATCATATCATTCTTTTTTTCACCATTTTTCGCAATTTTTAATCCATTTTTATCGCGTATTACTGGTGCACTCACTTCGAAACAAACCCAACGAACAGCAGTTAAATCTATTTTTATTGGTTTTGTTACTGTGACATTATTGGGAATTGCTTTAATTGCATATTTAGGATTCTATATGTTATATATACCTAAAATTGCACATGTTAGACCAATATATTTACAATATGAGTAAGCTTATTATTATTTTTCATAAAGTCTTTATTTTATTTGTTTTAATAATAAATAATAAATAATAAATAATAAATAATAAATAATAATAATAATAATAATAGCAAAGAACCAAATTTGATCACCGCTGAAATAGATTTTGTTGAGGGTGGAAAATACCGTTCAGTGAGCAAAAATTTGATAAATTTGATCAAATTCTATTTTATTTTTTTTTTTGATTTTTTTTTTTTTTTTTTAATAATTTTATTTTTCTTAGATTCTGACAGCTGAACAGTCTTATGATATTTCAATTGATTTGTATGTTCCTGCTTCAGAAACTAATATTGGATTAGGTTAGTAAGAAATTTTAATGTTTTTATTTTTATTATTTTCACAAATGAGAGAATGATGAAGGAATATATTAAATTCTTTAGGAAATTTTATGATTTATTTGAGATTAACTGATTCGGGGAATCAGACAGTTATAGAATCATATCGACCTGTAAGAAATATCTATTTTAATAATATTCATCTTATTAATTAATAATAATTTAAATATCAATATTTATTCATTCAATTTATATATATATATATTTATTTATATATTTATTTATTTATTTATTTATTTATTTATTTATTTATAGTGTATACTTTCATATCAATCAAATTTACTTCGAAAAGTTTCTACCATGTGGAAATTAGTTCCTTTAGTATTGGGATTTATAAAAGAAGATCAAAGGTTGAAAATCTCAATGATTGAGAACATGATAGAAAATTATGTAAGTTTATATTTAATCATCATTCAATTTGTGATCAATTATAATCAGTTAAAATTGAAGATAAACAATAATTATTTTATTTGAATTATTTGAATTATTTTCTTTTTTCATTTTAGGAAAAGCCAGTAACGAAGGCATTCCTTTCTATTTCAAATAAACAACTTAACACTTACAATGCACAGATTCGATTGGACGCTCATTTTAGAGGGTTACGGTAATTTATCTACAATTTATTTATTTTTACAATTTTATTTCTACATTTATTAAATCAGAATTATTTTGTCAAATATTTTATAGTTACTTCATGTATTATCATCAAGCTTCGACAGCTGTTGCATTCATATCATTATTTCTTTTCTGGGAAATATTCGCTTCAATACTTGCTTGGAGATTATTGGTTTCCTGGATACAAAATAATATGCAACCTTTAATTGTACCAACTAAGAATATTCCACAAACCGAAAATGTTGGTGTTCTAGGTATTGATACTATTAATGTTCAAGATAATCAAGAAGATGAAGAAGATGAAGATGATGATGAAGAAGATGATGTGACGGTGGATGGTGAAAAATGGTCAAAAGTTCGTCGTAATAATGTATCAGTTGGAATGAATGAAGAATTAACGGAAAGTGATTATGACACGGTAAAAAAAAATAATCTAAAAATTTATATCAAAAGATTATGGTTAATTTTCTCAGAATTAAATTTATTATTATTTTTTTAAATGTAGTCACGTCCTGAATCTGTAATATCACCTACTTCCGAATTAACAAATTATCCAAATGATTACACATCACAACAAGAAGATGATGAAGAAGAAGTTGGATCATTACCTGGTACTTCGGCTACTTCCACTAATGATGGTAATGAAGATGATGATGATGATATTGAAGAAGAAGAAGAAGAAGATAATGATAATAATAATAATAATGAACGAAATAAGGGAGGAAATATCACATCGAGTGTAACATCATCATCAGATGAATCAGATGGAAATGAAGAATCTAATATTGGTTCTTCGTCAACAGGTAGAACCACAGCAGCAGCTATTAGTAGTAATACGAGAGTACATAGAAGAAATATTGGTGGTGGAAATGAAACTAATGAACAATGATAAAATAAGAAGTTTTTGCATTTTTTTTTTTAATATATAATATTATATTAAAATTTTTTTATTGATTTATTTTTTTTATAATTCATTATTTTCATTATTATCCATTATTATTAATTTTTTAGCATCAATGTAATTATTTCATTCAATATTATTAAAAACAATATTTAAAACAAGTAATTATTTGGTAATTATTTTTTAATGTTTTATGTGAGGATAATTTAAAAGAATTTATTGTAAAATCTTTCAAAAGGTCTGAAATGAGTCAATAATGGAAGAGTATAATAATAATCATTTCTATTAATAAAAGAACTTGAAGGTGATGTTGTTGCTCCATTTACAAGACTAATTTTTATTTTTTTTTTTTAAAAAAAAAAAAAAGAAAAGAATCTTTATTAATTGTATAAAAAAAAAAAAAGATAATAATAATTAACTCACGTGCTAAATTCGAATTTCTTTAACCATCTACCATTTAATTTTCTAGCAGTTCTAGCATTTGTTCTGGTCTTTTGCCCTCTCACTGGATATCCCATAGCATGCCTTTTACCTTTATATGATCCAATTGCTCTATGATGTAAAATGTTATTTTTTACTTCCCTTTTTAAATCACTTTCTATTTTCATATTAGATAATTCTAAAGAAATTTGTTGAATTTTATCTTCACTTAATTCAAATAATTTACATGTTTTATGAATTGAAAATTTACTACAAATTTTTTCGGCGGTGTTATGTCCTATACCATGAAAATATGTTAAAGCTATCTATATTAATAAATAAATATTTTAAATATTTTATTAATATTAAATGATTATTTCATTAATATTAATTATATTATTATTATTACCCTAACTAATTTATTTTCTGGTAAATTAATTCCAAGTATTAATTGCATTATTCGAAGGATAATAATATAAAATAGATAATCAACCCTTTTTTATGAAAATTCACTCAAAAGCTGATTGGTTGATATTAGTGGTTGACATATATAAATAGTACTTTCAAAAACTCATTATACATTTAGTTCTTTTGAAATAATGAATTCATTTTAAAAATGTGATGAAAGTAGAAGAAAAAGAAGTGTATGTAGACGAAATCTTTGATCGAAGGAAAGTTTTGACGAAGGAGAAAGAGAACAGGAGATAAATGATTTTTGTTCTAAAAATTATTTTATAATTGATAAACAGTTATGGTTTTATTTTTTATATATCATCAATAAAATCATCATCTGAATTTCACGTGATATCGTGATATTCGCGTATTTTCGTGATATTTTCATGATGTTTTCGTGATGTTTTCGTGTCATTTTGCGTCACCCCATGTGAATAAACTTTTTTTTTGTAATAATTTCTTTTTTTTAATTACAAAACTTGTTATTACTATATAGAAATATAGAACCAACCTTGGATGTATTCCTTATTATAAAATTCATTTTTTTTTCTTTTTTTCTTCAGATTTCGTAATCTAGCGTGTTTACTCATCGTGCGTATAAAAAATGGATGCACCCATAATTGATACAAACAACACAACAAATGAAATCCTTAATAACGCGAAGACCCCCCCCCCCCCAACTGTATCTCCATCTTTGCAGGAACCACCTACTACACCGAGACCTTCGACTCCCGATTCTACCGCTTCAATTCCGAGACCAAATCTCGGTCCAATATATTCAGCTGTATATTCAGGTGTACCCGTATATGAATTTCTTGTTCGTGAAGTTGCTGTTATGAGACGAAGACCAGATTCTTATCTGAACGCCACTCAGATCTTAAAAGTTGCTGGTCTTGAAAAAGGAAAGCGTACAAAAATCATTGAGAAAGAAGTTTTAACGGGTGAACACGAAAAAGTTCAAGGTGGATATGGTAAATATCAGGGTACTTGGTAAGTACGCATTAAAAAAAACCTCTTTACTTATATCTAAAAAAAAAAAAGATTTATGTATTTATTAATGTTATTAGCAATAATTTTGAATCATTCAATATTGTTATCATGATGATAATATTATTCTGTTTTATATATATATATATATATTGATTTTCTAAATAAGATTTCCACTAAATTTTAGAATATATATAAATGTGTCACTCCTGTGCATTATATTATTTCCGAAAGCTTTTTTTACTAAATAATTTCATTCATATATTTATATAAATATAAATTTTTATGTTTATATATATATATATATATATATTGATTTATTTATTCAGGGTTCCCTATGAAAGAGGAAAGGAGTTAGCAGAACAATATGGAGTTCTTGAAATATTACGTCCATTATTGGAATATAAACCACCAGTTCATGATATACCTTATTCTTCTTCTCCCTATACACCTACGAAAGAGCAAGCGATGGCAGCCTTACGCAGACAAGCAGCAAAAGCTACCAGTAATTCCCCTTCTCCTCAAATCAATATACAAAACAATATCAATTCACCTATTATTCAAAATATGGTGGTTGCAAATAGTGGTAATGGAAGTGGAAATTTAAACAGTAATGTTAATGGAAATAATAATAATAATGGAAATGGAAATAATGGAAATGGGAATAATAATAATAATAATAATAATGGAAATGGAAATAATATCAATAATAATAGTAATGGAAATGAGAATGAGAATATTGCAGTTACACCATCAGAAGTATCAGAACCTCCACTTACCACTTCAGATGTGGATGAAACAGAAAGGCAAAGAAATGTTTTGATGGCAATATTTCTTAACGAAGATCCTAATCAATTACCTGATCTTCTTTCAAATCCTTCTTCACCAGAAGATATTGATTATGATTCCGTCATTGATGATCATGGTCATACTGCACTTCATTGGGCAGCATCTTTGGCTCGTTTACAAGTTATGGAATTATTATTAACACGAGGTGCTAACGTAAAACAAGTAAATAATGAAGGAGAATCAGCTTTAATACGTGCCATTCTTGTATCTAATAATTATGAAGTACAAACTTTTCCTGCCGTAATAAATCTTCTTCATGATACAATTCCAATGACAGATAAAGATAATCGAACAGTCTTTCATCATATAGCTATGACATCAGGAACGAAAGGTCATGCAGCAGCAGCGAAATATTATATGGATTGTTTACAACAATGGATTGCGAAAAATATTAAAGGAAATATCTCTTCAATATTAAATATTCAAGATAAAAATGGGGATACAGCCTTGAACATTTCCGCACGTGTTGGTAATCGTCAATTGGTTCGTCAACTTATGGAAATGGGAGCTAGTAAAAATATAGAAAATAATATAGGGTTAAAAGCGGAAGATTTTGATAATACGGAATTTATGGAATATGATGATGTGAATGTAAGTTGGATGTATTATTACCAGTTTTTTATAATTGCACATTATTTACATTATTTAACCGTCTTCTTTCCTATTTCATTCTATTTTTATTTTATTTTTATTTTATTTTTATTTTTATTTTTATTTATTTATTTTAATAAAATAGGAAAGGAAATCCGATAACCCTCCTACAGAATATTTCATTCAACCTATTCAACCTGTTCAATCTATTCAACCTTCTTTAATTAGTCTTAATTATCCTAATAGAAAGTCCCATGATATCGGATTAAGTATATATTATATTTTATTGATTGATTGATTGATTGATTTATTGGATATATCAATTGATATTTAAAAAGATTTCTTTACAATTATTCTTAGGTATTCAAAAAATAATTGATGATGCGGAGATTGAATGGATTGAACAATTACGATTAAAGGAGAATCAACTTGCTGAAACACGAAGACAATATAATATTACTTCAAAATTACTTGCTGAAGCGAAACGTGTTACTCATTATTATAAACAGAATGAAAAAGATTTTGATGCAACCGAAGAGTACATCCAACATCTTGAAAAGGTATTGGTGGCAGAAGGTCAAGATGAAACTTATACTTCATGTAAACGTCAAAAAATAGAACATTCAAATGGAGAAACATCCGCGTTGGATGTTCTCTCGACTGTTTCAATTTCTCTTCCCACGACAATAGCAGATTTTTCTCAATTGGATATTAATAAGACGGATCCACCAAAACCAATGGCGGACGCTAATAATAATAATAATAATAATAATAATACCACAACATCATCATCATCGTCACCACCGCAAGTAATAAAATCCGAGATTCCCGTTTCAGGACCCTCACAAACATCATCATCTATTTTTGATACAAATACTACAAATACTACACCTTCACCGCCAACGTCTAATAATAACAATAATAATTCAATACCTTCTTCCTCTTCTTCTTCTGTTACGCCATCAAGTGCTTTATCCCTACAGCAAACAACGTTTTCATCTTCTACGAGAGTTCCAAGTGCATTTCCATTACCTAATTCATTTCAATCATCAATTCCAAATACATTCAATTTATCTTTGGCGGATAAACCTCCTACAATAACAATTACACCTCCATCAAATGGTCAACAATCCCAATCCCAATCTCAACAACAACAACAACAACAATCCCAACAACAACAGCAACCACAACAGCAACAGCAACAGCAACAGCAGCAACCGACTTCATCAACGACTCCATCAAATGGTCAATCACAACCGCCTCCTCCTCCATCATCATTATCATCACCATCACCAATCACCAATATCGTATCACAAATAAATGCGTATTCCAAGGAAAATGAATTACTTCGACAAGAAATCAATTCCGTAAGAGAAATGTCATACAACAAAGTTTTAGATTACAAGAGAGTCATATCTACATGTTGCAAAATTGAATTCGAAAAAGTAGATGATTATGTCGAATCTATGGTAGTAGCATTTGATAGTGACAAGGTGGATTTTAATAATCCTTATTTCAACGATTTGATGCATAAAGTATGTAACGATTGATCAAATAAATATGATTTTGGAATTATTTTTGTAAATAACTTGTAAAACGAAATTTGGGAGATTCTAATTCAAATGTTTTCTTTTTTGTACATATATAAAAAATTTTTTTTAAAAAAAATTTGAATCCTTTTCTTTTTTTTTTATTTATTAATTTGGTTATTAAAAATTACATGTAGCCTCAAAGTTGAAACCTCACTTTTTTTTTGCAAAAAAAAAAAAAACAGGAAATTTAAGGTAATATTTTATTTTAGTTATTATATATAGATATTATTATTTTGTGAGCTTAATAAAAAATATTACATTACCCAAATATTAAAGGGTTATTTATGCTTAAAACAATTTTTGTTTTCTTTCTTTTTTTTTTTTGATGATTCAAGATAAATAATTTATAAATAAACTTTGTATAAAAAAATTAATTTATTCTAAAAGTAAATTAATATTTAAATTTTCTAATTGAGAAAACACGTTTAAATTGATTGTTTATCTACGAAGAAGTAAAAAAAAAAAATCGGTATGAAATTTATTTTGACGATGTAGATCCTTAATTTTGCGTAAAAAAAAAAATTTTTTTTACTTTTTATGATCCCACAATTTCAAAGTATTCAAAGTGAATTTATGATTATCTCGTCAAATTCGTCGAATGAAAATTGAATTTCATTTTTTATTTTACTATTTGTGCCATTAAAAATATAATATTATTAATAATAATTAACAATTATTTTTTTTTTATATACACCATATATATCCCCACACCACTTTTAATTATAAACCGGAATAATCTTCAAAACGAAATGAAGATTTTTCCAAAAATTCCAAAATCCCACTGCAATGAGACGCCCACACGGAAACCTTTAGTAAAAGGCGAAAGGTTTATACGAATTTGCGGGCATCTCGTGGGAGACGAGGAATCAATCTAGGGAGAAAATGTTGTCTATTTATTATAATTTGGAAATGTGGGATTGCCTATGTGATATGAAATTTTTATTCACGTGAGAGATGAGAGGAGATCATGAAAATTCTAGAACAATTGTGCAATCGATCTTCTCAAAATCTTCAAGATCTACAATATCTATAAAATACATTTAATTATCATGTTATGAATGTCATAAAAAAAATTTAGAAAATAAACCAAGTGTTAAATGATGTTTTCATTGTAATATTATAGATATATGTATATTTTTTTATGATAAATAATTATTTTTATGTATTTTCAATACTTTTGATCAAAGTAAACCATTTTTAAGTGATTAAATAAAATATTCTATGATATTCGCGAAAATAAAGTTCGTTCTTTAACATTAATTTTTTTAAATTTACATTTAAAGAATTTGTGGCTAATGAATTGAGTCCTTCACGTATTGAGTGAAATTTTGGTTAGCTAAGCTAAGCCACTTTAAAATCAGAAAAAAAAAATTTATTTTTGATCTCGATTTTTTGTATGCAAAAATGATATTTTTAAGATGTAGCACTAGTTTATTTTCTTTCAGAAAATCAATTCAATATTCAACACTTAATAATTGTTGTTGGAAACATATCCAATTATCTCTTGATTTACCATTTGATAAACCTTACAAATTTACTCGTAAACGGAGTCAACTTAAACATTTCGAATTCATTGATAAAACACAATTTTTGATTAGAAAACCTCAAAGGCTTCCTTTGATTTTTATTAGAAATCAATTTACTTTATCTCTTATGTTAAAAGCGGAAAATGTATCGGATGAAATTGAAATAATTGATAAAATATCAAAAGAAGAATTGGCAAATTATTTAGAAGGAAAAATTTTAACTTCCAAGAAATATAAATTATTATTTGATCCTGTGAACTTGGAAAATTTAGACGATGCTTGGAAATATTATCAACAACATGAAAAAAATGAAATTTTAATTGCAATCTCTTTAAAATTTCAAATTCAATTATTATATTATTCTATCAAATTATCAAAATTCGAAGCTGCTAGAATAATAATTTCACAATTACATAAAAGAAGAAATGAAATGTGGTTAAAAAATTATTTACATGTTATGGAATGTCTTTCCACACTTAATTTAAATGAGGCAATTAGAAGATTCAAAATTCATTTAATAAAAAAAGATGATTTTCCTAGATTTAAAGTTTTATCTAGTTTAATGTTAGCACTTTTGAAAAATGAGGATATTTTAGGAATGGAAGAATTAATGTTTTCTGCAGAACAATATTTTGAAAATTCTTTACCTCCCGAAATATATAATACTATGATGGCCGGATATGTAAAGAATAAAGGTTATAGAAGAGCTTGTACATTATTAGAAAAGATGGAACAAAAAAACATATCTCCTACTCGAGTTACTTATAATATATTATTAAATCTTTGTGCCAAAATTGGTAAAAAAGTCGAAGCGTTAGAATTATTTGATGATATGATAAAATCAAATATTGAACCAGATGCAAGAACTTATTCTGCTATCTTTGAAGCATTTGGAAGAGTAAAAAATGTGAGTCAATGCAAATATTATTTTGCTCAAATGATTTCCAAAGGAATAAAACCTAATGCTTATACTTATGGAATCTTAATAGCTGCATGTGCACGATCTGGTAAATATGCAGAAGCAAGTAAATGGTTTCATCATATGGTAAATATATCAAATATACAACCAACATTGATAACATATACTAGTTTATTGGTCGCTTGGACAATCCAAGCGTGTTATGATAAACGTATTGTGGATAGAATTCTTGAAGATATCAAAAAATCCGGAATAAAATTAGATGTTATAGCGTATACTGCTTTAATGCATGCCAAAGCTAAAACTTATAATTTTGCCGAGACAATTCGTGTTTATCAAGAAATGTTGAAAAGTGGTATAAAACCAAATGTATATACTTATACAGTTCTTATTACTGCATCAGCGAAATTGGGTGATTTAAAAACTTCTTTACGTCTATTTGAAGACATGAAAAAAGCGGATATCCAACCAAATGAATATACATATTGTTCTATAATGGATGCTTATGCCAAAAATAGAATGTTATCAAAAGCTTTCGAATTTCATAATGAAATGATATCAAAAGGAATTAAACCTGATACCACTTGCATTAATTGTTTAATGGATGCTTGTAATAGGGAACGACAAGTTGATCGAGTATTTGAATTATATAATAAATTGGTTACAGATCCCAATCTTGAGCCAGATGAATGTAGTATAACGATTTTTATCGATTCATGTTCATTTAATAATCGCCCAAATGATGGCAAGATTTTTTTCGAAAATTTGGTGATTAATCATAAAGAAATCTCTGAACGTAATTTTTATGCTTATATTAATTTATTAGGTCTACACAAATATAATAAAGAAATATTAGATGTAATAAAATTGATGAAGAAAAGACGAGTTATTCCAACAAAAATGACTTTATTGTGTGCTTTACATTACATTCGCAAAATTAAGAACAATCAAGAAATTGTTTACACAATTATGAAAATGTTAGTTGATTGGGTTGAAATCTACATTTGGCCCACTTCTATAGATATTAGAAGATTTGAACAATCGCATCGTTAATTATATCTATTTATTTTATTTATTTATCTTTTTAGTAATATTTCAATACCATATTCTATTTAATAATTGTGAATATTTAAATTTCGATGATTCTTTTATTTTATATAATAAAATATTCACTTCTTCCCATTTTTCCCTTTAAGATCTACGTTTAATCTTTTTATTATCACCCAAATAATCCATAACGGAATTATATCCATTAGCAAGAGCATGATATTTTAATATACCCGTGGCAGGAAGACCCTTCTTTCTGCGACAAAATGAGCAATTGCATACACCACGACATTTTGGGCAACTCCATTCACCCGACTCACGAGCTTCTTCCAAGGTTTCACCATATCTTGAGATATACACACGCATAGAAATAAATTTATATTAATAAATTATTATTTATAATATTTTAAATTTAATTCTTTAATTATAAAACATACCGTCCAATGAGACAACGTTCGTCCATCATAACTTTACAAAGAGAACCATCTGCAAGAGCGTTCTATAAATGTATTTTTTTATCATCAGGTAATTTCGTTAATTTTTTTTAGGTAATTTTTGTTAATTTTTTTTTGTTAATCTTGTCTTACCGTGCATTGAACTTTGTCTTCTACAGTCTTTTGACGACATTGATGGCACGTGGTTCCGAGTTCAGAATCGTAAATTCTACCTCCATAAATACGACGTCCTTGATTATTTCGTCCTGTTGAGTTCTTTTTACTCTTATTTTTGTCATTCATATAGAAATAATTTTAGTCATCATTTTTTTTTTGTAATATATTGTAAGATATTGTAATACAGCATATATCATTAAAAATTTACTTGATATTTTCTCTTTCGCGTGTAAGTGCGATATCTACTTGCCGTACCATTTTTAACGCGTAAATCATATCGTGGAGCCTGAATAAATTATTATCTTGTTAATATTTATAGTTTAAGAACTTTCGTAGAAATTTTATTAATAATTTTTGTTTACTAATTGTTGAATTCTTTTACTTCTACGTGTTGGCAAATGTCTACTTGGTGATGGTGTTTCTTCGGTGGTGGGTGACTGAAGTTCCTTCTTGATTTTTTGTTTTTGAGGTTTCAATTGTTTCAAGGATTCTTGATCTAATCCTAGTTTTGCCAAGAGAGCCATGTTTTGTTGAATTCGTTCACTTCTTTCTCTTTCATATTCCTCGCCGACCTTTTTATCAAAATTTGTAATTTATAAGACTCTTCTAAACACTATAGAATTTACACAATTTTTAGAACGTTAGTTTTACCAAGAATGAGATAAATTTTTTGTCTTCCTCTTTCATTTCATCCTTGATTTCATCCATAATTTCATCCTTAGTGATCATTTCTATCAATTATCTTGACGAAGGAGAGTATTAAGTTTTTGATATAAAAGAGTCGCGGTGTGTAAATAATGATTTGGATACGCCTTTCGAACCAATAAAAATTGAGAAAATTACGAAAATTACGCGTAAATATAAATAAATAAATAAAAACAAAACAAATTAATTCTTGACTTTACAGTATACATATAACAAGTCATCCAGCTATCTTTTAAAACTCCGATGCAGATCTTTGATTTTATTCAAACCAAAGATAAAAATAGAACATATCAGATGACATTAGAATTGTTTGTGATGCAAAGGTATCGTTTTTAATAGATCTATGGCAGGGACACGGAAAATTTTTTATCAATTATTCCGATTTATTCTGCTAAAAATTTTCATACGAAATTATTGTTTTTAACCACTGTTTTGATTGTTAAAATACATCATAGTGAGAAATTTAAGTGATTCTTTACTTAAATTCTTTCTATCTTCATCTAGAATTTTGTTATATACAGAAAAACTTCTTTCAAATGTGCAGGATGAAATTGGCAACCAAATATAATTGCATACTATTTTTTCTAAAAAAGGAAGTTGTAATGAACTTATTCCAAAATTCATTCAAATCGGTAAATTCCACAGTGTTTAGATTGATATTAACATAGACTGGTCATTCTTGAATATGACATGTTGATGGATTAACTACACAAACTTGCCAAAAGTATCCAGGCAACTGTTTTTTTGTCAAATTCATTAATAAATTTCAAGGATGAATTATAGCACAAGAAATAATTCAAATTGCATAAACTTTTTTTTAAAAGAATCCCCTGATTAAGAGCTATCATATGACACCTTATTTACTAAAATTGGATACTTGCTTGTGAAGATATTTTGTTTTAAACAAAATTAATCAAAAATATTAAAATAAATTATACATCGTAAAATCTTTCGTTCTCAATAATTATTTATCGTAAGTACCAAGTATCTTATACTAACTTGTAGCATAAAATAAGGGCTACAACTTTTATTAGTACTATATTTAACATTTTCTAGTGAAAATCAAAACTTTACTTAGACGTTACTAGATTTATTTATTTATTTTAGCAGACTGGCATAATCTTATACAGTTTCCTATAAGTATTACAAAAAATACAGTGAAATTGCATTAGCTAATCTAACAATACCACTTAATCTACTGTTGTGTAAAATTATATTTTACAATTAGTAAGTTTCAACTGCTATGGCCCCACTAATATCTATTCTTAATAAATTGAAAATAAATTTGTATCTATTTATATTTAGAATATGATCTTTGGATTTTTCTATTTGATTTTTTTGTTTTTTATAGGTTTCTTTATTTTTTCCTTATTTTTTTGTTTTTATATTTGGGAATTCATTAAGTTTCCTTTTTATTTCTTTTTGCTCATTTGTTTTTTGAACTTGGTTATTTTTTTCTAACCATAATTCATGAAATTTCTTCATTGTGATTTGATATATTTCAAGGACTTTTCCTTTAGCTGTTTTCCTATCTGATTCTGTTACTGCTGCTATTTGGTCAATTAGTTGTTTAGATATAAGTCCTCTTATTATATTGCTGAGACTGAATTTTGAATATCTTGCTGTTTTCTATATATTTATTCTGTTTGGATCAAAGGAATATAATCTGTTCATTATCATTTTTATCCTTATAAATTTTTTAATTTTATCATAATTGATATTAAGTTTTTTAGGTAATTTTTAATTGTATTAATCCATATCTGTTTGAAATTTTCTTTGTTAACTTGACATGTAAAAACATGGAGTGTTGATTCTATTTGTATTTTACATATTGGACAGTTTAGATTTTGATATATTTCTTCTTTGAGATTATTTAATTTTGAGTATGTTGGTAGTTTATCATATATTATTTTATTCTGAACATTCTTAGACTTTGGTCTGTGTTTGATGTTTCTCTGTTTACTAATTTTGAATATATTAAAGCTTCTTTCATTATATTCCAATTTACTATCTTTTCTATATTTCTATTGAAAGATTGAATAAATCTAAGTTGTGTTTTTCAATTAATTAGATTTTGGATATTAGTTATATTTTTGGTTAATTCTTGTATTGGATTGTCTAAGAATTTGTTTTCTTTTTTTAATTAGTAGTTTTTACAAATTTATGTTCATAGTTAAGGTCTATAATTGTTTTACTTCATCAGGAAATTTTTTCTAGTAAAAACCTTCGAAAGTTAACATTAACGTAAGTATTTTGCTGTTTTTCGATATATTATCTTTCAAAAGTCTTTACTAACCTTTGAAAATTATCGATTTTGATATTTTCACGTGGCAAAATTTTATGAATATTATCATTTTTATAATAAATTCATATCGATAACCTTTGAAGATTATCAATTTTGATATTTTCATATGTGAAATTTTACGAATATTATCGTTTTCATAGTAAATTCATATCGATAACCTTCAAAGGTTATCGATTTTGATATCTTCATGTGCGAAATTTTACAAATATTATCATTTTCGTAATAATTTCGTATCAATAACCTTTGTTTATGTTAGATATTCATAATATATCATTTCGATGGCTATTACTTGTATTTATATCACTACGATTTTTAATCGAAATTGCACTGTCAATGATATCCTTCAAAGTTTATCGCAGTAATTTTAATTGACATTGTATTGTTAACAATATCTTTCAAAATTTATCACAGCAATTTTAATCAATATTGCACTATCAATGATATCCTTTGAAATTTATCGCAGCAATTTTAATCGACATTACACTGTCAATGATATCTTTCGAAGTTTATTGCAACAATTTTAATTGATATTGTATTGTTAACAATGTCTTTCGAAATTTATCGCAGAAATTTTAATTGACATTGCACTGTCAACAATATCCTTCGAAGTTTATTACAGCAATTTTAATTGACATTACACTGTCAACGATATCCTTCAGAAATTTATCACAACAATTTTAATCAATTTTACACTGTTAACAATATCCTTTGAAGTTTATTATAATGAAATTGCATTGTTAACAATATCTTTCAAAATTTATCATAATAATTAAGGTTAGTATTTATGTTCACTGAATGTAATTATATTATTATTATAATTTTATTAGATATCATATTAATTCAAAGTTTATTAGTATTAATATGTTCCCGAAACCTTTGATAATTTAATATATTATAGTTAAAGATTTTCAGAATAACTAGATAATGATTACAATGAGTTTGAATTAGTATTGTTTAAATATTACAAACATTCACACATAATATTTACAATAAAATTTTCAAATAAGAATAATTATTATCATATAAATATTGTAAACATAGGATTCTACCTATGTATATGAACAAACATATTGTTACTAGATTGTGTAATATTCTCAACAAATGTTTACATACTATAAAATTACTGAAATAAGTATATATTATCATTTCATATTTGTACTGCATAATAAATTTACGAAGTTATTAATTATGGAATTCATACACTATATATAAGCAGAGAATTTTACTGTATTTTAATTTTAATCCTTGCTGTTCCTAACTGACCTTTATACATTCTTT